GTTTTTTCAAATATTCTTCCTTAATTTAAATGTGTGCACAATATAGATGGAGGCTGCTTCTAAATCAACAAGTGTTTCAATGTTAATAAACGCTGCAATGCGGCTATTAATGCCAAGTCAGGCAAAGCAGTTTGTGACGAAGCTTATCAAAGAGGAGTTTATTAGCAAGTATCTTGCTGGCTCACTTGCTCTTGGAGACATCGCAGTCAATGTTAGTTATGAGTCATTCAGTCTTTTTTATTTATCCAAGCATAAGTAACTAAATTAAGCATAAGCTAAGTTTACTGTTTACAGGGTATGAATATTGAAGCTTTTTCCAAGGAGCTGAAACAGTTGAGTGCAGATGAGATAGTCGCCACTTCAAAATTTGTTGGCCGTGCTTTGCTTCTAAAGCCGGGTGATAGAGCACTGGTGACGAACGGAATGTTAATTGGGCCGTTAGTGGCTGACGAGTCGTTAAGTGAAGGCGATATTGAGTTGTTGGAAAAATTGGCATTTTCTCAGGGAGTAAAGGTTTACTTTTTCTTCTTTCTTTGTGACAATAGTTGATGTTTTTCTAATCAGTAAGGTGCAGATTTTCTGATAGCTTTTCATGATTTGGTTAACTTCACGCATTAGTTTATGGCTAAGAAATTAAGCAGGGGTGAAGGGGAAAAGAAAGGTCTTCTATAATTCAATGGTGAAATCTGCAGATCTTTACTATTTTTGCTTCCTATGTCTGTAGTACAAATTTTTGAGTGTCTTCTTTTTGCGAGTTTGAACTCTAATTGGCTGTTTCATTTTTAGGTTTTTTATACTTCGAAGCATGCTTAAAATTTTATCCTTTTGCAGCTTGTTCACTTTTTTGAGAATATTTTTTATCTGACAAAATATTGACTGACATTAAAGTAAAACTTGGTTCTTTATTTAATAACTGAAGCTCTAAAATGAATGAAGGATTTAGAAGGCGTCGAATTTTTCTTTTGATTTTAAGATAGTTTAAATTCGTACTCCTAGCACTTTTCAGCCGGGAAAGCTAATAATTTTTTTAAAAATTTAATAAGGGGCAACCAGAGTTGGGTGTAGTTGTGATACCGTTTTAAAAAGGCATGTTAACTCAAATTAAATTTTAGCGGGATTCAAAAACCCAATTTTTTTTACGTGAATCTTTTTTTTGCAAATGTTTTTGAAAAATGTATTTGTGCTATACTGATTGCTTCTGTAGTTCTCACTAGTTTCTGAACGTTTAGTTCAACTTTTGGTTTGGTTTAATCCGGTTTAGACTCTCGTTTCATTTTTGTACAGACCTAGTGGTGAGTTGAGGTAGGGTGTCAAGTTGATTTGACTTTAATTATTCATGAAGAAAAAAACGTTTTTTATTAAAAATCTTTAAGGTCATTGGAAGTTTTGCCGAGAAACGGGGAATTAGAGGTTCGGACAACACTTATTCCGATTTTGTATTGCGATCTGCTGCACTAATTAGCAGTACACCGACAAGTAGTAAAAGAACCCTATTCAATCTCAACAGTGAAAAATACAGGTTTTTTTAAAGCTTTTTTTTGTTTAAATGTGATCTGTTTGTACCATTGAACCGTCGTTAAATTTTACTGTTAAACGACATTTTTACAGTGTGGTAGCTGTGCCTGCTAGGATGGACACAGAAATGCGATCCTCCTTTGAAGCGTTCGGTGTTGTCGATCCATTAACAAACGGTGCCCAAAAAATGAGTACTTTATTGGAAGTAATTCGCGAAGTGGCGAATGTTAACATCAAATTGTTCCTCAATCCAAGAGGGAAACTCAGCGAGCTGCCTTTGAAAAGGTTGTTATGTATCATTTGCTTAACATCATAAAATCGTAAAAGCGGAAGTGGTTTCAGATTTTCGTCACTAACTTTTTAGGTTTTATCGCCTTGTTTTACACCCTTCTGTTTCATTTGATTCTTCTGGTTCTATTGCGATATCTTCATACCAAGCTCGTTTTACATCTTTGCCTGAGAAACAGCTGCTGACATTATCTGTCGTTCCTCCAGACTCGTGGATGGTTCAGTCAGTGTATGCCGTATATGATTTGGATAATATAAAAATGGAAAATGTGAGTATTTAAATTTCATTCCAGAATTTAAGTGCTGAAAATCAAAGCTTTCAACTCATTTTTGGTTTTTTACGTTTGGAATTTGCTGTTATTTTTTGCTCTATTGACTTCAATGGATGAGTCTTCTTTGTTTCTTATCGCCTTTTTTGCACAGTTCTTCTTTAATCGAAATTAGACAGAATACTTTGTTGTATATTATGGCCCAAATAGAAATCTTTATAGGTCAAGGGAAGCGTCACAGCTGAATTCCAACTTGAAAACATCCTTCTAGATGGCCATTGCTTTGATGATAATACTGGATCTCCTCCTAGAGGGCTGCAGTACACTTTGGGAACTCGTAGTAATCCTGCTGTTTATGACACGATTGTAATGGCAAACCTTGTGAGCATTGTTTGTTCTGTCTTTAAATGCCATTGTTGACAGTTATCCCAGTGGCTGCTGCAGTGGCTTATTTTGTAAATTATTAATTGCAGTACTGTAGTTAAAACATTTCTTATTTAGGGCTATTTTCAATTGAAAGCTAATCCTGGAGCTTGGATTTTACGTCTTCGCGAAGGTAAGTCGAAGGATATATATGAGATCAGCAGGCAAGTTCAGCCCTTCACTTTTTTATTACATTTTTATAAAATAAATTTATTTTTCTCCTTTTCTCTTTAATTTTTTATTCTCAGCTTACGTTTAAACGTAAGATGGATGTGCAGCCTATTTTTTTCTAATTTTTATGTTTTTCAGTCACTACAATACAGAATCTGAAAAGGATGAGTCTGTTCATGTTCTGATCGACTCCTTTAGAGGACGTACTATTCGAGTGAGAGTTTCAAAGAGACCCGGTATGCAGGATAAGAATTTGTTATCGGAAGGAAAATCTGGGAAAGATGAAGAATCACAGTCTCTATGGAGCACTATTTCTTCGTAAACGCTTTTTCTTCTACTATTCTACTTTTTACAGATTCAATCTCGTGTCCTGCAGGGCGCAAAGCGGTGGCAGTAGTTTACACGCTTACTTCTTAAGTTATTTATTCAGGGTAATACTGTGATTTTGCAAGGCAGGACCTTGTAATTCTATGAACTTTTGTAGTAGTAACCTTTTTTTTCCAGGACTTTATCTGGCGGTGAAAAATACGATACCATAAATATTTTTTCGCTTGCGTCGGGACACCTCTATGAAAGATTTATGAGGATTATGATGCTGAGTGTGATGAAGCACACCAAGTACCCTGTTAAATTCTGGCTACTAAAAAATTACCTTTCGCCTCAGTTTAAGGTTAATTTTAAAAAACATTTCTTTTACTTCGTTTCTTTGACCAGTTTTAGACAACAGTTCATTAACAACCTTGAGAAATTTCCTTCCGCGCTTCTTGCGTGCATGTTTAGTATATTTTCTTGAGTTGCTATTAGACCTTAGCAAAGGTTTAGGAAATTACAATGAAGTCTAGTGAAATAATAAATGTTTCTTTTGGATTACGTGTGAGGAAGTTCGCTTTATTAAAATTTCAAATACAAAAAATTTTTCAAAGCTGCTTGTTACTGCAGGAAACGCTTCCCGTTTTGGCAAAGCATTATGGTTTTCAATACGAACTCGTCGAATATAAGTGGCCGCGATGGTTACATCATCAGACTGAAAAACAGCGTGTTATGTGGGGGTATGTGACAAAACCGCTTTTTTTCTTTTCTGCTAGTTTTTTGGTAGAGCGGACTGCTAATTTAGGTATAAAATCTTGTTCTTGGATGTACTTTTCCCACTGGACGTTCGAAAAATAATCTTTGTTGATGCGGACCAAATAGTAAGGGCTGATTTAATGGAACTGATGGAACTGGATCTTGGAGGCGCACCATATGGTTTCACTCCATTTTGCGATAGCCGCACTTCTATGGAAGGCTTCAGATTTTGGAAACGAGGGTATTGGGCTAACCACCTTGCAGGCCGTAAGTACCACATCAGGTCAGGAAGTGTTTTTTGAATGCTTGACTTTGTTTACCAGTAAATTGCATTCAATTCTTTCAGTGCTATATATGTAGTTGACTTGGTTAAGTTTCGTCAAATTGCTGCTGGTGATCGTTTACGTGGGCAATATCAGGGGTTGAGTGTGGATCCAAATAGTCTTGCTAATCTAGATCAGGTGAAAATTTTTTCTTGTTTCATCTCCCATTGTTACTTGTTACATATCTATGCCAGCAAGAAAACCTGAAGGATTTTGAGTTATTTGGTCAGTTTCGTTAAATAGTGCTTCTCAACTTCATTAGCTTTTAATTTGAAAATAGTAATTGGTAAAGGTCTTCATATCTACTTTTTCTAAAAGCTGGGATTTTTAAGTAGGTTGATAGAAAATTTGGTTTTCCCTCTCATTTTGATTTGGAAGGTATGGTTCTAACTATGAGCTTTAGGACGGCATCCCTGAAATTATTTTATATGTTTTAATCATTCCTGTCTTTTTCCTCATTTTTTTTGTTGGGATGAATTCTTGATGAAATACTTTATGTTTAGCGTTACGAAAAAGAGTTGAATGGGTTTGGTAAAAAGTTGATGCTGATGCTGTTCTAAGTTTTTAGAACCTAGTCAGAAGAAGAGCTTCAACTCTGACCACTTTTTTAAGTCTTTTATATTTTTGCGTTGTTGTAAGAAAAACAATTTTGTTGTTTTTTGTATTATAAAGCGCTGTAGCTATCCAGGATCTCATACTTTCTCAGTCATTTTCAACCGTGCCAAATTTTTTCGTTTATTGTTGTGTGAAGTGTTTTATGGAAGGTGTACATTAGCGCTCTGCCAGAAAAATTCAAATTACTTATTCTCAACCATTTAGTTTGACTTTTTTGGAAGAAAGTAAAGAGTGACAATTAATAATTACTCGCATGCTCTGTTGCGCACACTTGTTTTATTTTGTACTGTTGACAGCTTTAACTCGTCAAGTCAGCTTTAGGATTTGCCAAACAATATGATCCACCAAGTCAGGATAAAGTCGCTGCCACAAGAATGGTTATGGTGCGAGACATGGTGCGACGATGAATCTAAAAAGCACGCAAAAACCATTGACATGGTATCAATCTAAATGTTTTTAGAACTCAAGCTTTTATAGGTCAATGTGCGTTTTAATGCTTAAGGAACAAAGTTTTTAACTTATTGGTTGGTCTAAAGCTGGGAATGTCGCTCTGAAACTCATAACAATTGTTCAAAACATTTGTTTACTTGAACAATTTAGTGCAACAACCCGCAAACAAAAGAACCTAAGTTGCAAGCAGCTATGCGAATTGCTGCGGAATGGAAAGATTATGACAATGAAATTAAAGCTGTTTTATCCGGATCTGAAGCTGTGGATGCTGGTGGGAATAAAGAATTTAATATTCCACATCATTCAGAGTTATAGTGTTATATGTTTCTCTAATTACCTAGACTGTTACCGGGTTGGTTTGAAATTTTTCTGCCATTAATCACTGTGGTGTTTTAAATCATACTGGAGGCTTCTTTAAAATTTTTGCAAACCACTGTGTAGTTTTGTTTAATTTATTTTTTGTTGAAAGCTGTTGTACATTTTACGTTTTAGGCTTTAAAGAAGTTGTGCTTGCTCAGGGAGTCAGGTTAAGAATATGAATTTGGTAGCTTGATTTCGGGTGGTTTTTGTCTGTTCATCTTAGGGGTTTTGTTTTTGGCACTCATGCTATATTTTAGAGATTATCAGCTTAGAAGGTGTTAGCAATCAAGAATTTCTTGGCTCTGTATTTTGTTCATTTTTTATGATGTTGAATAGAATATTATGTTTTGTTCTGCTTCCATCGTTGTTGTTATTTTACATCATTCTTCTGTTTGATCTTTCTTAATTCTTTTCTCTTCTGGTAAATAATAACTGGTTTAATCTGTATCACTGGATGGTGGTCTTGTGTAATATTTATTTATTACTCGTCGCCAGTTATTCGTTCACTTTTCTTCTGGACGTTTCAGTTTGTTTATAATTTTATGGAATTATCTGTGAATTTTGGTCTGATCGCATTGTATTGTTAATAACTCTCATTATTTGCCTATATTTAATTTAATGGGAGAGCTTATTTTTTCGTTTTTTTTTGTTAACGACAAATATGGAGAGTATGACGTATTTCTTAAAGTACTTCTTGTGCCATTTTGAAAGTTTTGCATGGAAAATCGGTATGCCAAGCATTGGTGGCTATTTTGTAGAAACCAGTGTGCTCTCTTGGTGAAAGGTTTTGCCCTTAGTTTGTACTTAACTCACATTTTTTTCAATTGGCAGCTTATACTGGAATTGGAGGGCTGCTCGACGTGGAAAATATCTATTATTAGTACTCAAGGAGTTGTTTGGTATTCAGGTTTACATATTCTTTGGGAGCCACTCGCTCGTAAAATTTTCCTTGTTCAGTTTTAAACTTGTGTCCTTGGGCGGGGCTTGCGGCACTGGATTTCATATTTTGGGAGAAAGTGCTCATACAGTGGGGAAGTATCAAAGTAACGTCTTTTTCGAAGTTTCAAAAGAGGTTTGTTTCTTAGGCAACTGAGTCTGGTCAATTTCTAGATCGAGGAGGCTGGTGGTAACTGTTTAATTCAAGGTTGTAGTATGTCTGCAAGGATAAAGCGGTTGTGGCAGCCAGGAAACCCCCAGTTACGAGTTTTCTTACCAGACTTTTGGGTACGAATAGTAGAACCTTCTAAGAAGGGTCCTGGAAGACTTCCTAAAAACTGCGTTAAATTCGAGGTGGACAAAAGGTTTGCTGTTTTTAAAATTAACTTTTTACGCTGCTTGAACATTGCATTTCTGTTACACTGCCGTTTTGAATTTTTTGAAGCAAAAACGCACCATAAGGGATGTGTAGTTTCCTAGTGAGCATGAGCCCCTTTATTTAAAGGATGTCGAGGCATGATGTTCGCGAGTACCTTGAAAAAATTTATGAACTTCCGGTTCGAGACGTAAGAACATATGTAAGTTTATTAATGACGAGATTTTTAGAACTTTTATGTGCTACTGCTATCTGAAAGCCATTTTTTGCAGCGGGATATTGCGGACTTTCAGTAGCATGTTCGTAGTAACTTTTGGGGTTTTCCGCCTTCTCTAAAAATTTTTTAGGTTAAAGAGGATATAGAGTGGCTAAATGTAAGTATCAAGAGGTACAGAAAAGCGCTCTGGAAAGAAGATGAAAGAAAATTTGCATTTGTTTACTTGGTATGTATATACCTCGCCTTCATCTCCGAAGTAACATCAATACTGATAGTTAGTATGACATCAAGCACTTACACTTTTGCATACAGGCTAAAAGCTTGCAGGTTATATCAAGATTTCAAATAGGGATTTTAGCAATTTATGACTTGTATCGAATATTAATGAGTCTTTTGAATATCTTATATTGTAGATTCCAGTTTTTTGAATACAGTCTTGATGAATTTTGTAGTAGGTTATTGGAGAGAATCAAGTGTGGAGATAGTATTATTAGTTGCTTTTATTCAGCGTGTGTACTAAATACAGAGCTTCAGTGCTTGAGTTTTTACTGATGTAAGATCTCCATATCTTTTTTTGTGGGATAAGACGAATGTGTGGGTGAACTAGCAGAATCTCACTTTGTGTTTTACTACTACAGCTGATAAATTATTTGAATAGAGGTTTGCTTTCGAAAATTACTAACGTTTATAACTGTTTCAGAGAAAAGATTTTACTTTTGAATATCCGGATCTTTTCAAGGACGACGAAGAAGAGGAAGAGTTGAAAAAAGCGAGAGAAGCTACAGCAAAGATGACCAGGCTCGATACGAAAGAAGCTAATAAACATAGGAAAGGAGCTGGTACTATGTTCAGCAGCTAATTCTGTGCATCTAAGTAACTAGTGACTGCTTTGTTATCGTCTTATAATATGAACGATACAAACAGCGATTCTATTAGGCAGTTAATGTAGATATTTTTTCGCTGGTTTCTGTGTAATTCAAAAAATTTTAGTATTAGTGGTGTAGAAATCATTCCCTTAACAACCCTGTAGGCCTTTTTTTAGATAATGAAGAAGGTTTAAGTATAATCTGCGGGAATATAGCTCTACATTCAACGGTTACCTCGCTTGAAAAAGAAGAGGTGGGTGTCAAAAAATTCCTAGTTACTAGTTTTTATAGAGGAGTTTCATTGAAAAGTTAGTGTTAGGAGATTTATTGAAAGGAATTGTTTCTGTGGTTGTGAGGTTTTCTAGTAGGACTTAGCCTTTACGCGGCGATTCTTAAACGAACATCCTAGATTACTGTTTCTATTCTAAAGCGAAAAAACAGGCTCAGGCAGTGGGTGCTATGGAGATAACGGGGTACGGTTGGAGGATTCGGGCGTTTTTTAGGGGGTTATTGTAGTGGGTCTTTGAACAACAAATTAATTAAGAAGTTTAACTTAGAAATAAAATCTAGTTTCTTATTGATACAATGAGCAACCTCACAACTTTCACTGATAATAAGGATTAGCAGTGCATTTGTGAATTGGAAATAAGCTTTGGTGGCTGAGAGAGAAAGAGAGCTTAAGTTGCTGCTTGAAAACAAGATGCTGGGTTAAAAAAGTTTGAGAAACACTGCCCTAAAGTGAGCATTATTATCGAGGAAATTATTTCTAAAATCAAATCGTTTTTTTACTCTCAATTGTTGACGTTTGTTTTAAGCAGTATTATGTACCGAGAACTCTATAAGACTTCCTTCTTTTTTGTTCTTTCTAAACGGAAAGATCTCAAGTGGCATAAATATATCAACTTTTAACCGCCTTCTAAAGTTTTGTGCCTTTGAACATGAAAGCTTTTTTCCAACAAAAAAAAGAAATTTCCTTAAAGCTAAATACCCGACTGCCATTATTTTTTGAACAGTAAAAGTAACTAGCATGGTTAAGGCATTTTATACATGGTTCACTTTATTTGAAGATGTTGAGATATTAGTTAATTGTAGTGGATAATAAGTTATATGAATATCTCACGTGTAGTGTGTATACTATTTTCCACAATTCTGGGTCGTTCGTTGCTTGTCCGTTTGGAACTGAATTCCCATACTAAAGTTTGAAAAGACAAAACTGTAAGAACCGATGGCAACAAAGCCAATGTTCAAACACGTTGCTTGCATGAAGAAATCCTTGATTTGTCTGCTAATGTGCTCAAGGAGTCGGAACACAGTGATCAGCAGTGCTCAAAGCCAACTAATAGGCCGGGAGGGTATAGTCACAGGAGGCAAAGGGAATCACCACCTTAGAAGATGGCCAGTAAAACAGCATGGTAACCGAATGCTAAGCAGCAGTCTCGACTATGAGCCGCTTTTTTATTCAAATTCCCTAAAGTGAAGCGACCGGCAGTTGTGAAGACTAGCGTAAGGCATATGTCAAAATCATTCTTTGAAAGTTTTTTCTATTACTGCTAAAACTCGTTCATTATGGAACCGATTCAAATAAGCTAAGTGGTAAAATAATAGAAGTATCTTCAAGGAGCAAGGAACAGTTTTTATGGGAAATCTAACAGCATAAAGTTAAGAAGTAACTACTGTGGACTGCAGTGGGCCAGCAGTTCAAACATTTAGTGAAAAGCCGTGTAAATTACGTTGACACTTTAGTAGCAAATCGCAAAAGGGTAAGCGGAAAGTACGTAAACAAATTTAAACTCTTCCAGATGAATCGTTTAGATCAAGAACCTCACATACAAGAAATGAGAATTGGTCTACAGAGGAAATAGCACATTGAGGTAGTCAAATGTATGAGTGCAATGGCGCTTAGCTGCTATGATACAGCCAAAAGTAAAAAAAATTGTATACTCTCAGTAATCGATGGGACCGCCTTCAATAGGTATTGCTGAAAAGACTTCACTTTGCCAATAAAACAAATCAGGGAGCAGCTAAAATTTGAGAGGGCCTCCAGTACAAAGTTGGGAGGCAAAGATTAGAATTACCTTTAAAATCTTGCGGGGCAACAACCCTAAAGTGTTTTTTTTTTTTGATTGGAATCAAAAACTCTTAGTGTGATTAGGTCGGATGTTGAAACAGTTGGAAGTTTAACTGGTGCCATTTTCCTAGATTAAGCATTCTCAACTTGTACATGTAAAAAATTAAGCCTGCTTCAGTTTTTTAAATGCAGTATTCATCTAACAATAAGCAAAATTGAAGAAAAAAGCAAGATTTTGTTTTTGTGAAGGATTCTGAATCATAAAAATTCCTTTATTTATGCTAATTTGTTATTTTTAAGATTAGGAAGATGATAAACTTGGTCTATCAGACAGTAAAAACAAAGCCATTCAAGGCTAGCCAAGGACTGTAGCTTTTTTTTGGTAGTGTAGCAAGTTTCAGTTTCACGAATAAATCTTATATTTATTTTTGTAAAATTTAGCATTTGTAGCATTACTGTACAACAACGGATCAGAAATTTCAAACGGAAAATGAAAAAAGATAAATGCACCTTTTTCGAGGACAATTGCTTATTAATTAAACCAACATGAATATAAACATATAATAAGCTAATGAAATCTGTTTCTCTTCAACCTAAGTGGCTACCAATGCAGATTTATCCTAAAAAGCCCTGTATTTTTTTTTTTGTTTTATTTCAGTCTTTTACCTAATTTTGCCGCATATCTAGCAGTGTTGAATAAAATGATTGATCCAAATTTGTACTTTATTTAAAGATTTAAATTTACACCTAAACATTAAAACACCAAAACAGCATGTAAAAAAAACACTCTCAGTAAAGCTGATTAGCCTTGTAACCTATTGCAGACTTTTTTGACGCCAAGCTTTCTAAGAACAGCCTGAGGAACAACAATGTCTGTTTCGATGTGAAGTGCATGTTCTAATATTTGGAAGTTCAGATTTGTGAAAGATATCGGGAAATTTGTCTTTGGCAGCTCAACCTTTATACCCTTTGAGAAGGTGTCATTGGCCACCTGAAACAGTATTACAAGAAAATTCCATCTGCTAAAAAGAGGTTGCAAAATTAAGAAACAAAAATCTGAAAGAAATTTCAGTCAGTGAAGTTATGCAAAATTGAAAACTTTGGTTTTATAACTATTATTATGCGAAGCAGTAGGAGAACAGTAATAGTTAGGCCACTGTTGTAGATATATGTTAATGTTAAATTATGCACAGCAAATTGAGAATAATAAAAATTGGCTTACCTTAGCCAACATTTCTTTGCCAAGACTACCCAAGTTATCAAGAGCATCTTGAGGTAAACCAAGAGAATTATCTTTGTCAGTCAAATTAAGCCTTGTAATCTCTGCGTTTCCTTTAATACGTTGATTTTCTGAGTGTAGAGAAACCTGTAGTGCCAGGTCAATCCCGACTGTACCCACTTTCAGATCAGAATCGGCAATATGAATTTCAGCATTAGCCTTTAACTCTGCTATTGCTGTTCCTGTAATTGTTTCAATAAATTTTTTTTTGTGTAACTTGCAAAATGCTGGCCGGCGCATTATTAGCACAGTTATTAGGTTAGACAAAAATAAAATTTGCGGTATTTTAGTAAGTTCGCTACCTCCATCTTCTGCCGAGAAGATTATTGACGGAGCTTCAGAAGAACTAAGAATGATATACACTTCCTTGTTTGGGTGTTCCTCACGAATTGTCGGTACAATATCCCCAAAGCAAATACCAAGGTCCGCTAAACCGCCTTCGTCCTCGTTGCTCGTGGAAGAGGCCTGTCGTCTGACCCTACGAGCAGTTGCTGGTGTAGTAGGTGTAGTAGGTGTAGTAGACGTGGTAGGTGTAGTAGACGTGGTAGGTGTAGTAGGTGTAGTAGGTGTTGCTCCTTCCTCGTCAAGCTAAACTACTTATCTTTAGGAATGATAACGCGAAGTACTGTGTAAAGCAATTTCAAAAACTATTGAAAACACTGTTTTCAAAGCAAGGACTATTTTATACTACCAAAACAGAGAGCTCAGAGTGAATTAGTCACTGATCCTAGTGACCTTCTCAAGAATTAGTTTAATTCAAGTGGAAGACAAACTTCAACTCCATGATCTTCAAGACCTTCATAATCGTCATCAGAGCAAGTAGTTCTCAATAAAGGTCCAATTTTAGGAGTTTCAGGTCCAATTCGGAATGTAAAGAATCGTTTCCTAAAAAGAACAATCCACTAGCTGCATTAACTTCTAATTTTAGTTACCAGATGAAGACTCGTTCTCCCTCTGTGCCTACAGGATTTTCAGTTTTAGTCTTTGTGATTTAAATAAGCCTCTACAATTGACAAACCTTCAGAGTACAAATGATGCAATTTACTTAAAAATATTAAAAAACTTTCTATATTTAAAACTAAAATTATAAAGAAATAAGTTTATTAAGAGATTTAAAAATAGTGGTAATAAGAAGTCGTATTTTGCAAGATTGGTAAATTGCTAAAAGGTAGTTAACTAACACTCCCGTTTTTTATTTTATTTTATTTTTTTTTTT